AAAAAAAAATTCAGTTTATAACTCAATAAACTCGATTTTAAACTCAATATTTTCCAAAAATACTAAAAGAGATGATATTCGAAGTTTGGTTATAATCAACCAATATAAAATTGGTAACGATGAAGTAATTACATTTTCAAAAAATCAAACAAAAAGGTATTATAATTATGTTGAAGCATAACTTAGATTTAAAAGGTATAAACCATACTCTTTGAATGTTTTGATAGACATTGGAGCTACTATATGTAATTGTAGAAGTAATGCTTTACCATTAGAAAAATGGGAGCCAATGAAACACCCTATTGCAATAATAAGAATCAATGAAAAAGAAACTATAATATGATATAAAGCAAAAAATGTTTCTATTTATTTTATGAATAAAAAATTCATAATTTCGAACATTTTATGCCTTTTTTTTTATGTATGGTGATATGTTATTAGAAAATAATTCATGTACGATTATCTATCTTTATGTTAGAATAACAATAATATTGTTTTTACTATAGATGAAGAATATATAGAAATACCTTTAGTAAAAAATCATAAACATATATGTGATTCTAATTTCCAACCTAAAACCAAGAAAATGGAAATTAAATCAATCAGTGAAACACATTAGTTATATAAAATTTTAAAAGAAAATTTTAGTGAAGAACCATTAAAATTACGGTATATAAGTCCTTGTTTTTGTAGTTTAAAAATTATTGATTTAAAGAAAATAATTACAGTAAAACCAATTATCTATATTAAACAAGATATAGATGAATTTGATATACAAATCAATGAACTTTTACAAAAATGACTTATAGAACCCACTACTAGTCCACATTTAAGTCTAGCATTTATAGTAAGAAATCATACTGAACGAAAAAGAGGAAAAGCTAGAATGGTAATAAATTATAAACAGCTTAACCAAAATCTAATATTCGATGGTTACTTTATTCTTAGAAAAGATGTGTTAATAAACTTAGCAAAAAATGCTAAATATTTTAGTAAATTTGGTTGTAAATAAGGATTTTAGCAAATAATGTTAACCAAGAGTCAAAACCATTGATAGCTTTAATGCACAAAAAGGCCATTATCAGTGGAAAGTCATGCCCTTTGGACTTTATAATGCTCCACAATTTTTTCAAAGATGGATGGATACCATTTTTGGGAAATATAAAGAATTTTGTATGGTATATATTGATGATATACTTATATCTTCTAAAACATTAAATGAGCATGGGAAATATCTAAATCTTATAACTCAAGAATTTATAAAACTTGGTATAATATTAAGCCCTAAAAAGTTAGAACTTGAAAAAACTAATATAGAATTCTTAGGATTAAATTTATCTTTAGATGGTCTTACTTTACAAAATCATATTATAATAAAAATTAAAGAATTTTCAAAACAATAGGAATATAAAAAACAACTTCAAGTTTTTTAGGTCTTCTTACTTATAGAAGACAATTTATTAAAAATCTCTCTAAAAAAGAGAAAGTTTTACAAGAAAAACTAAAAAGTGATATACCTTTTTCTTGGAAAAAGACAATTATGATATTATTAAACAAATAAAATCAGATTTTAAATTTATACATAAAGTATATCTTTCTCAATTAGGAGAATTACTCATTTTGGAAACAGATGCTTTAGACCAACATTAGGGATATGTACTTAGATCAAATGTGCATAATCAAGAATTAATTTGTGGTTGTAATTCAAAAAAATTTAAACCTAATGAGAAAATATATTATTTTTACAAAAGAGTTACTAGCAATAAAAAAAGCAGTAACAAGATTTTATATTTATTTAGCACCTGAAAATTTTATTATTAGAACTAATAACCAAGCAATTAAAGACTTTTAAAAAAAAAAGAAATTAGAAACTAATCTTAAAAGGATTAGATGGTATAATTTTTTATGCCAATATAATTTTTCTATTGAATTTATTAAAGGATCTAATAATGTTCTTGTCGTTTTTTTTAGCAGACCGATAGATAGAGGCAAAAAACTTTTTAAGCAACAAGGACAATGGATCACCATTCAAAAGAAATAATCTAAACAAAAGATTTCTTCTCAAAATCCTAATCCAAGATTATCGTATCCTACTCCTTTTGGACCACTAATCCCTTATCCTAATTCAAGATATCTTTATTCTCCTTAAACATATTTTTTTCTTTCTCACAACCTTCATTACAATCAGTAATGAAACCTGTTCAAGTTCCCAACATTTCTCAATTTTCGTAGGATCTAAGCCAATGGATACCTATTTCATATTCTAAAGTTCTCGAGAGAACAGAGGAATTGCGTAAGTCAAGGTAGCCCTTTCTAGAAATAAAAGATTTTTATAATCTAGGTTTATCCCTTGAATTATATAATCTACTTAATAATGTATAGACAACCCATATATATGAAAGCAAAGCTAATTTTAGAATAAACATGACAAAATTAGCATAAGTTTTAGCTAATCAAGCTGAACAACAAGCTCGATTTTAAGAGCTTGTATTTAAAACAATGCATACAAGTAACTTGTTAAAAGAGTAAGATCCAAACTTTTTTACTATTGATGAAAATCAATACTCCTTTGAAGAGATAAACAATCTCATAGATATTTGTGAATTCTTTGAAAAACAAAATTTTTCTTCTAAAATATTAAAATTAAAAGAAATTTTAATGTTTGAAAAAGCTGTAATTCTTTTACCTAATGAGATATTTCAAAAAATAAATAGTAATATTCTTCTTGAAATAGAAAAATTATTACAAGAAAAATTTATAGATTATAATTTTCAAGAAGACAGTTTTATGATATATCTTGGAAATACTAGATAGGAAAACCCTTTCCAAAAATAAAATTTAGACTTGATCATGAACTATTCGATATAACAAATACCGAAATTGGATTAGTAAGCCAAATAGTTGTACAAAATTTTCTTTCCACTTAATAAAACAATTCCCTGTTTTTATTAAATCAAAATTTATTGATTTCATAAAAAATTATCAATATTTTTGTTATATTCATTTTAGTATTGCTAGCTTACTAGGGATTTACAAAGAGAAAAGTTTATCCAACCCTATCAAATATGGGAAATTCAAAAATTAATGAGTGGACCTCTTCTTGAAAAAATCAACGAGAATTCTGAACAGCTTAATCAAGCTTTAAGGAAGTTTTCATCCCCTAATCAATACCAATTCCAAATAGAAATATCTATGATGAACAAAGCAAAAATCTTATATTGTGAAATAATAAAATCTCAATATTTTCAAGTCTCTGCTTCAACCAATAACTGTAAAATCTTCATTTAAAGATCTTACAATGAAAAAAGACCATCACCAACTGAACCACATGCAGTGGATCTTTTGAAACAATTATAAAAAATGGAAGACATAGACCATTCACAACATTTATTATTTCAATACTAAGAAAGATGGAACATTTGGAATAAAATCAGGACTAGTTCTCCATAATCATTCAACCTAGATGATAAAGAATTAATAAATCTTAATAATCTCCTAAAAGGATATGAGCATAAAAAAGATAGCTAAAGAAAATAATAAGTCAACAATTGCTGCTAAAACGATATATATATTCATTACAGTATGAATTATTGTCATCTTTTATAAAAGTCAAAAGTTACTTTCATAGGTATTAACAATTAGTTACTTATCCTATAGGTATTAATGAGTTACCTACCCTAATTAATGGGGAAGAACTTTTGTATTATAAAGGATGATGGGATAAATAGGAAAGGTAGAGACTCCCTTCCTTACTTTACTTTTTCTTATACTTTTTCTACATCTTTCTTTCATTTTTCTTACCCTTCTCACTTGTAAATTATCTTTCACTCTAATTGATTCCCTTCCCCACTTTGCTTCTTCTTCTACTCTTTCTACATCTTCTTTTTTTCTTTCTTACCTTTCTCACTTGTAAATTGTCTTTCACCTGTAATTGGTATTAGAACCTTATAACGAACCTTATATATCATACACTGTACAAAATCATTATTTAGATATATTTATTTTTTATTTGAGATCTCTAGATCCCAACCATCATTGTAAGTATTTCTTTACTTTCGCAGCTTTTAACTTTAAGCTTTATGTTTTAAAACTCATATATCTATTTATTATTTCTATGCTAGTGTTATGACTTTATTGTGACCTTTAAATCTAGCATTAAAAATCTTTGAAAGGTATATAGACGGTTTTAGGTACTAGAAACATAGAGCAAAATATTAAAAACTGTGTTTGTTCAAGAAAAACTTATAATCATAGTTTGCATATGGATCCTTAATTAGAAAATCATATATCGGCAATCAACTATAATATTAATGGTTTAGTTGATTTATCTACTACTTTTTTTAAAAAATTGTTTAATAAAATTGACATACTAGAATAAAAAATAGATAATTTAAGACAAGTGACTAGTTTAGATATAAACTAAGATTCTAAGTAGTTATTAGTAAATATTAATAAAAAAAAAATTATTAAAAGTTGATAAAAATCAAACAACTGACTTTGGATATTGATATTATGGTAATGCTATTATTACTCTTAATGATGATAAATCATCATTTTTTCAACCGTATGATTTTTTTAAAGCAAAAAAATTAGATTTTAAATCTTATAAGAGTCTTCTAAAACACTTTAAGTGTAAAACAGAAAAAAAATGATCTTAAAAAAATGATTGATTATTTGAATATAATAAAAGAACTATATGAAACACATGTAAAACTTTTTAAAAAATTTAATTAGCATTATATACTTAATTATGATATTATTGATGAAAATAATTCAAATAAAGAAGATAAAAGAAAAAATAAAATTTTAAATTCTAATATAATAATAAAAGATAAAATTAATAATACAAAATTTTCGTTATTTGAAAAAATAGATAAAGAAATAAATACTAAGTTTACATCTATAGATCTTGTAAAAAAAAAATTAATAAAAAAAAAAGTAAGAGAAATTTTTAATAAAAAAATTGAAGATAAAAGTAAGTTTGGTAATAGAACGGAAGAAGCACAAAAAGACCGTGCGTGCCCCTTTCTCTCTCTCTAACGCACTGAAAAAACAATCTCAAATTTTGGTTTTAGAAAAACTCTAATGGTTGTTGTCCAAGCTTCCAAGATCAATCTCCCAACTCCCTCTTCCTCTCTTTCTTCTTCTTCTTCTAAAACACCAACGTCTCTTCTCTTCGAACCCCATTCTTTTTCCCTTGCCCTTTTCCACTCTGACTCTTCTCTTTCCCTTTTTCCTTCCATTTCCTTCCCTTTTTCTTCCCATCAAAAGTCCCTTACTATTCCTCCTCCTTCATCTTCCTTCACTTTCCTTCTTCTCCAAAAAACCCAACAAAATCCTAATCCCAGAGTCCTTTTCATTGTTTCAAGCCCTTATAAAGGTGGTTCCAAGGTTCTCCTTAGATTTTTTCTTTATAGGAATGATGGCAGTAAGGTTTTTGAGAAGGCTAAAGTTGTTTCCAAGCAAAAGGGTATTGAGTTTGATGATAAAGTTGGGGTTTTGATTGATGTTAGTCATGGTTTGAAAGTTATGATTGTTGGGTCTGTTAATTTTTTCGCTTTGTATTCGGTTTCAAGCTCGACAGTTTTCATCTTTGGGGTTAAATTGGTGGGTAATGATGAGGGTGATGATGGGGTGGCCGTTAAGCTCATGAAATGTGCTATGATTGATTGTTTGAAGCCTGTTTTTTCAATGTGTATGTCATTTGAGTGGTTGGTTTTAGGGGAGGAAAATGGGGTTAAAGTTTGGCATTTAAGAGAATTGGTGAAAGGGAGAAAGGTCAGGAGAGTGAAGAATTCTGGTCTGTCAAATGGGGTAATTGGAGATAATGAAGGTATTTTCAGTGGTGGATCAAGTAGCTCGGAGATTGTTTGTAACGGTGATTTTGATGGGAAGATTGAAAAGCATTCTGTTTCTGGTAAGTGTTATGGGGTTTTATGTATTGCTTTGAACTTTATAATGGTAGTGGCCGTGTTATTTTTGTTCATTTCATAAACTTATAGTAGGTTCTGTAATTTATTCTATAATTGTTGTCAATTTTATCAGCAAAAGTGCTCAAGTGAATTAGAATAGATGGCTTCCTTTGCAGCCTATCCAGTTGGTGTTTAAGCATAGCTTTTTTTCTTGGTACTTCATGTTTAAGCTAACTGATGACAGAGCTGATTCGCTTAATATTGAATTTAGGCTGTGGTATTGTTCCAGTTCGTCATGACTTGAACCGGTTACTGAATTAGTTTAATATACTGCAAAAGTCTATCAACCTCTTTAAGTAACTCCTAGAAAATTTTTGTTCCATCAATCATGACTAAATGCGCAGAGCTAACTTATTATTTCTTGTAGTGGTTTTCTTTTTGAATGAACTTGTAAGAGACTTGACAAATTATAACATACCTGTGTTTTAGTGAATTGTATTAGACTTTAGCTTAAGGATCATTGAGATTCAAGGCCTTTAGAAGAAGGAATTTTGCTTACCTTTTAGGTCAATGCTTCTTGTATTATAGCATTGGAGATAATTTACAGGAGATGGAGCAGGGACTGGGAATACTTGATTTAAAGGCATTTCCAAGTGAAGATCTTTATCTATGAAGAGGTTTAAGTACCTAATAATGTAGGAGGAAGTGAGTTGTCTTTTGGTTGAAATTTATTTTTCAAATATTGAATGAAGTAATTAAATACCAATACCTGTCTAGGCCATCTATTGTCGTTTTCCTGTTTCAGTGAGTTAGATTAGGTCAAGGAGCATAGCCATCTTTAGCATTCTAGCTTGAGCTTTATCAGACTAGAAATGGTATTGATAATTAATTGGGGGTCTAACTTTTTTTTTCTTTAAATATGAGTGATAAATTAAATTAATTTAATTTGAAATATGAACATGTATAATTGCCTTGACTTTGTCCATGTAATGGCTTTGTGGATCAGTATCTCCATAATTTGTCATAAATTTTTGGGTGATTTGGCTCATTAATGGCAGTATAACTTCAGTTAATTGGCTTTACTCAGACATTCTATTACATAGTCTCACACTGCATCTACTGAAATATATTTAATTTATTATTTTTTCTAACAAATTGTTTTTATTATCTATTTAACCAAGCAATTGGGTCACTCATATTTAGCAAGATGCTGATATTTGGTTTAAATTATAAGTATGTCTCTATATGGTAAATTAGTTATATAAGAAAGTATAAAGGTTGTTTGATTAAGAACTCTCCTATATGTTTCCCTTTTGTTTGAGTGAAGTCTCTAGTTGGTGGATTGGGATCATAAAGTCTCACTGTATTTTTAGTAGTTTACAAGGTTGCTACTTTTTTTTTCTCTGATTGGGCATTGTATTTTGCAGTGAAGCAGATGCCTGGAAAATTCAGACAAAAATCTGCGGGTGCATGCTTTGTGGCATTTGAGAAAGGGGAGGTTAAGGGCTTGACATCTGCAAACGGGCCATTTATGTCCATAAAGGCAATTTCCATCCAACCACTGTCCTCAAAGAAGTTTTTAATTTTGAATTCTGCAGGAAATTTGTCTGTCTTGCATGTATTGAACAATGCTGTTGGATTAAATATCACCTTTCACATGAGGTCATTGCCACATGTTCTGAAAGTGCAGAAGCTGGCTGTTCTTCCTGATATTTCCTCAAGTAAGCTTCTCTAACTTCTTTCTTTAGTTCTTCCAAAGTTCTCATTTGATTTTAGAGATGGTTACATGGCCAAATAGGGTTCAAAATCATGATTAATGGATGGCAAAGTGGCATGACTTGAAGTTTATTTCCAATGGGAAGATTCTTGATACCCAGGAAACAAGTCGTGGAGTTCATGTGTTCTTTGCTAAGGGTTATCTTGTGAGCGAAGAATAGGGAAAAAAATCTTGGTGTTGGGATGGGGTGGGGAGGGTTTGAAACTTTGAATTCAATTGCACACAGACAAACACCTGCTGTTTGAATAAAAAAGAGTGAAAATTTTGGGTTACTGAAAACATTCTTTGGAATTTTATTAACATTAAATTTTGACCTTTGACCTCTGCTTTTTAAGGGAAAGCATTTGATGGTTGATCTTTATAATACTTGTATGCAATTAAAGGATACTTTCCATCATTTTGTAGGAAGACAAACTGTTTGGATATCAGATGGGTATCATTCTGTGCACATGGTGGACATTAGCTCTGCATTTAACGAAAATGTTAAAAGGGAGAGTGAGGAAAAGCTAATGCAAATCTCAGGTTTTATTAATCCTCTGATTTTATTTGTTTAATATGTTGAATTATGTCATATATTGACTTTACTTTTATCAATCTTTGGAGAATACTTGCATATTCTCTTCCATAATTTTGATTCCTTTAAGGTGGGGTCCTTGCATTTTTTATTCTTGCTCGTGAAGGTTCTATGATCTGGAGCACTTGTTTCATCAATCACTTTATTACTGATTTTTTTTTGTGATTGATATGTTCACATGCCCTTTTTAGAGTGTTATAAAATTTAACTTCTTGTGTTATATTTTTCTCCTAACTTTTTGGCAAGGTGATTTACATTTTTCCTGTTTTATTTGCTAGTTTGTCATGCAATTTTTTCTAGTGAAAAGATCCAAGATATGATACCTACGGCTGAAAACAGTATTTTGATCCTTGGACAAGGTAATCTTTTGGTTTCTTCTTTCATAGGTATTCTATCCGTGAGAAATGGTCCTTGAAATTAAAAATTAACAGGAAGTGATAGGCTATATGTTTTCTATGTGCATATTTTCCCTGTGGCAAACTAGAAAGTTAATTGTCTGAGTAATATCTCTGTCACGATATGATAAACTTTTATTGGTGTTAAACATATGTGTGCTCACATGTGCATAAACAGATACAGTTATGCTTAAGTGTATATATCCCACCCTCCTCACCCCTTGCTTTTCATCTTTTTCTTTTACTCAAGTTGCGCATGATCATATATTTTCCTGTCTGCAACTTTCTGTTTTATTGTTTCCAAATTTCTTGACTTCACCTATCTATACTGAGCAGGAAGCCTGTATGCATATACAATTTCCTGAAGTGGTATGGCAACCATATCTTTGTTTGTGGTGAGCATTTTGTCATGTCACTCTTCCTTAAGAGATAATTCTGGATCCCCTGCTCCTGCTGATTTAAGTGAATCTTTTTTGCAGGTCATTTATGTTCCTGGTTGTATTAAATGATTATATATTTCAATTTATTCCTGGACCAGTGTTTTTAGTAAGTATGTGTGAACTCTTCTGCAAACCTGTAATACATCAATCCTCAGAATGGTATACTAATTACTGCATAAACTTGTCATTCCCTAAATTTCAGTTGGCCATCTTGCATCCGGAGTACAATGGTGTCTGAAGTCAGGATATGCAGTTGTCTCATGTGTCTAATGATGCATAAGACCGCGAGGACATTGGCCTCTTGAAGGTGTGTATAACATGAAGTTTAGTTTATCAAAATAAATGTTGGGTAATCTAGCAGATTAAATAATTTAGGCAGATTTTGTTTATTGTGCTCCTACTTGCAACTTATGGTGAGTTTGGGTTGGGAAATAAGAAATTTTAGGGTTTATGGCTATTGTTGGAACTATGGTTGGGGTTTAGGAATCAATTATGATTTGAATTGGTTAGGATTTATCCCAAAAGGGGGCTGAAACTGAAGGAAAAGATTTCTAGAAACTGTGTACCGAGATGCTTGTGGTACACTTGGTGAATTGAGAGATTTGGCTGATTAGTATTGATGTGAAACTATGGCTTATGGTTGAAATTACAAAAAAGCAATTTGATTTTGGATGCAAAGAGAAGTGACTGCTTTGAAGATTTAGGTCCTGTGTTGTGAGCAGCCACCCAAGAATATTGTAGCAAGAGAGGAAAATGAGTGGAAATAATAACTCAAACTAAAAAATTTCCAGGTTAAGTTTTAGTAAAATTCAACTCTACCAAGGCTATTGATACAAAGGGACATAAGTGGGCAAAAAGTATCTTACTATGTTGCTTCGACTCAGGTACGGATTTCAAGTGCTGGTATGTGTCTATATGTTTGATTCATCAATTACCTTAAACTTAATACACGAAGATACAAACATAAAAGGGTCAAGAGAAGGATGCAGGTGTGGGGACTCATTTCACATGTACTTAAAGTATAATATATATGTGTGTGTAAGGATCCATTTACACCAATGAAAAAAAAGTTTTACACTTTTTTAACTGTTAGATCTCATAAAGCAATTTTTTTACTCGTGAACTTGTCTTCCCCTCTCTCTCTTTTTGGTTTCTTCATCAAATCAACTTGCTCTTTCCTTTCAATAGCTGACCTTCTTCTCCATTGCTTATCAAATCTTAAGCTTATCTCCCCATCGTTATGGAATTAAAATGCCCCATCCTCTCATAACACCATATATTTTTTCTCTTTCATTTTTCACCTTTTATTTTCTAAAAATCTGTGATCTTTTAGTTATTTTACTGATAAATTCTGTTTTTAATAGAATTTCAATACCAAGGAATCAAGCAAATCTAATATTACAAAACTTTTTCTCTTAAAATTGAACAGTAGACATGTAAAGAAGGATTGTAATTTGTTTAGTGGAAAATTGGTCTTACAGTGGGAAAACCAGATTTTGTTCATTTGAAGTTGTGATAATTTAAATTTGATTTTGTTCGTCATTTGGGTCATGGGATTTGAGACATGAAGGACTGACTTTTACATCCTAATAAAGCTTGATAATCAGTACTGGAAGAATGGGAATGAGATGATGCAGCTCAAAATGATCAATCTCCAAAAACCCTTCAAAGAAGAAAGATGAAGAGAGAAGACAGAAAATATAGAGAATAGTAGAAAAGATAATTGGCAGAAGAATGTTTGTGATATTTCTTGAATGGTTACACACTACTTTCTTACTCCCTTTTAATGCTAGTATAACCACCTCCAGTTAATTCCAAGAATCTCGGACTTAGTCGTAGTTTCTCTTTCCTTCCTACTAATAGTAATATTAGCTGGAAAATAAAAAACGAAAATATAAAAAATAGAAATCAAGCAAATAAGGGCCTCGTTCACACAAGCTTTAGAATAGCTAGCCTAAATACTAAAAACAAGTTCACCTAAGTTAAGCCCATAACAACACCCCTCCCATGGAAAAGATCCTTGTCCTCAATGATCAAATGCAGGATATTGTTGCTTTAATTCATATAGAACCTCCCAATTGGCATCTTTTGGAAATTAATTTGTCCACTTAAGTAAGACTTTTGTAACAGTCACGTTCCCTATTTTTACCATCCTCATGTTTAGAACTTTTATTGGTTTTTTCACCATTTGTCCATTATCACCAACAATAGGTAATGGGGACTGAGTAGCAGAGTTGCCAACATGTTGCTTCAGTTTTGATACATGGAACATGGGATGGATTTTAGAACCACTAGGTAATTGTATCTTATAAGCAACCTTCCCAATCTTTTCCAGAACTTTGTAAGGCCCAAGGAATTTAGTAACTAGTTTAGCACAGCTCTTGTTCTTCATTGACTGTTGCCTATAAGGTTGCAACTTAACATAAACTAAGTCTCCCACCATAAACTCTCTCATTTCACTTCTTGTCTTCCATAGTATTCATTCTAGCTTGAGCCATAGTAAGATAGAATTTCAGCACTTGAATTGTATCTTTTCTAGCTTGTAATCTTCTGTCTATTGCCTCTATAGTTGAATCTCTTGCTAAGGTAAATGGATAGGAGGTGGCTATTCGTACATCACTTCAAAACATGCTGTGTTGATAGTTGAATGGTGATTGGTGTTGTACCACCATTTGGCCAAAGATAGCTATCTGCTTCATACTTTTGGTGTCTCACTCACCATGTACCTTAAATAGGTTTCTAAACATCTGTTAACAACTTCTGGCTTGACCATCATTCTATGGATGGTATGCAGTGGACATATTGAGTGACGTTCCATGCCGTTTGAAGAGCTCTTGCGAAAACTTACTCATAAAGACCTTGTCCTTGTTAAACACAATGGAATTAGGCATCCGTGGAGTTTGAATATGTTGTCCACTAACAATTGTGCCACTATTAAAGCTGTGAAAGGATAAGTAATTGCCACAAAATGAGTGTACTTGCTCAACCTGTCCACTACCACATATATATTATCTTTTCCATAAGATTTAGGCAACCTTTGTATAAAATCCATGGAAATGTCTTACCATATTCTATTGGGTATAGGAAGAGGCTCAATTTCCCATCTCTTCAATTGTCCTTCATACCATGTGTACTTAGAATTGGTAGTGATTTTAGACTGCAATTCAACAATCAACTTCTGTAGTTTAGGATCAGTATTCCAGGAATCTTGGATTTTTCTCATTAGATTCGTACTCATTATAGATAGTGCCATAAGTTTAGGTGGCTCCAGCTTTGGTTTTCGAGACAAGGCATTAGCAATTGCATTATAGTCACCCTTCCTTTATGAACCTCATAGTCCTAACCCATCATCTTGGTAATCTGTAATTGTTGAACAGGAATGGTAGATTGATTAGTGAGAAGAAATTTCGAACTTTGGTGGTTAGTCTTGATGGTGAAGTGCCTACCAAACAAGTAGGCATTCCATTTCTTAAATCTCATAAGAATAGCTAGCATTTTCTTTTCATTTACTGACAGTGCTTGCCGATACAGCTTTGTTGAAATAAGCTGTAAGCCTCCCATTTTGGGTCAACACTACTTTTATGCCAGTTTCTATCGCATCTCTTTCCATCATAAAGGTCTTGTTGTAGTCGGGAAGAGCTAATATTGGTATAATGGTCATAGCTGTTTTCAACCTTTTAAAAATTCTATAGCCTTATCATTCCATAAGAAAGCATCTCATCAAGAGTATCTTGTAACAATATAGTTGGTCACGAATGTCATTTTCTTCTCGTTTTCTTTTAAAATTTTCATTTGATTATAGTCGAAGTAAATGTTCATGAAGCGGAGGAGATCATGTTCGGCACTGTTGTCCACTAGCTGATCTATGCTCAGTAAGGGAAAGCTGTCTTTAGAGCAAGCCTCATTTAGGTCAGTAAAGTAGATAAACATCCTCTATTTGTTGTCATGTTTTTTTAACATAACAGCAGTAGCTATCCATTCAGGGTGGTAAACCTTTTGATAAATCCAGTTTTTAGTAGCTTATTGACCTTTTCTTCTATTATCTTTTGTTTTTTAGGGGCAAAACACCTCTTTTTTTGTTGAACTAGTTTCATATTTAAATCAATGTTCAACTTATCCACCATTATTGAAGGGTCTATGCTTGACATGTCTTAAGACATTGTTTCCAACCAATTGAATCAATCCATTTTTTTGACCGAGCTTAGAGTATGTATGTATACATTTTTCTTGATTATCCTAAAAAAAAGGAACAAGTATAGATCTTCGGCTAGTTTAAGTCGGGTGACATCGATTCTTTTGTTTTTGCTCGTTCAGGGCAAGATTGAATCCGTTAGATTGATTTTCTTCTTGTAGTACTTTGATCTCGAGATTTTCCTGCCTTATATCTCTTTGGTGACAGTTGAGATTGGGATTGGGGTTATAGGTTCCAAGACTTTTTCCTTTTTGTGGTGGTCACATATCATTGCCTGTTCATGGATTGGTCTCCCCTGAGCTCTCCTATCCTATTGGGAGTAGGAAACTTGATTTTGAGGTGAGGAGTTGATCTTACAACTCTTATGTTAGATGGCTCAGCCAATTTAATATCATGTTATAGGCTAAGGGTACATTTATCGCCATAAATTCAATAATTAAGGGGACTGGTCTAGGCTTGGTTCCTAAAGTGATTGGAAACTTAATGGTTTTTTTTACAAAACTTGCTCATTTTCAAAATCAATTAGTGTGGTGGTGAGCGGCCTTAGTATGTAATAAGTAATCTCCATTTTTACCATGATTGACTAGTAAATGACATCGATCGGGCTTTCATTATCAAAAAGAATTTGTTTTCTCCACATGATTGTTTACTATAATTTTTATGACTATGGCGTCATTATGGGGAAACTGAATCTTTTTTAGATATTTTGAGTTGAATGAAATTGGCTTGTCATAACATTTTTGTTTCTTAGCCATGGAACAAAAGGTCATTATTGTTTTCAAATCAAATTTTTTTTGGTTGATACTGAGGTCCTACCAGTAATTGCATTAATGGTTCCTGTTATGGGTTGGTTGTCTACCTTATCTCTTTTTTTGTCTTTCTCGTTGGGCTTATGATTATATTACCTTGGTCATCGTTTCTCTCCTATTCTCTTAGTTCATTCTCGATTGCTCTTTTTTTTTTTCTTTTGAAATTCGTCACGTGTTGCCCTGGTCTTTTATTTTCCATAAACCTGTTAAGCCGACCTTTTTTGATCAGATTCACAATTTCGTTCATTAGGTTAACACAAACCTTAGTATTGTGATCGTGATCCTTGTGGAAAGCACATCTCTTGGTTGGCTCTTTTTTGCTATTATGTCTTAGTGGCTTTGGTTATATGAGCTAAAGGTTCCTTTCTATTTGCGTTAGAATCCTGTCTTGAGAGGTATTTAGTGCATTGTAGTTGTATAATTTGCTTGGGTTCTTCATCTTAGGGTACCTTCCATTGATTTTCTTTCCTCTTGGAGAATTCTCATTTTCTACCCTTTTTCTTGCTAAGATGGGAGGAAGTCCTTCTTCACCTTGCCGTTCACCATTATAGCTTTGGCAATGATTTTTTTTTCTACTTTTGGAGCAGGTCAACTAGGGCCTTTTGGGGGTTTTAGAAAGAGAAAAAAAGTTTGAAATGGTATTCTTTTTTATTGAATTCATTGGTGAGGACGGCCACGGCTACAGCTTGCTCTAACTCATTAACTTGAAGAGTTTTGACCTTAATACACTTCACATATGCGTTTAAAGATTCTTTATCTTCTTGTTTTATTGGCATCGAGCTTTAGGTCATCTTTCTTGTTCAATTACTTATAAAATGTGTCAAGAATGAGTGGTTAAACTATTTAAAGAAAGATATTAACTTGTGCTTGAGGTTGGAATACCATGACTGAGCTGTCCTTTTTAGTGTTGTCGCAAAGCATTTGCACATCAACAGTTTGTTGGCAACCTGTGTCAGTATGCTTGTTCTGAAAATTTCAAGGTGATCAAAAGGATCAGTAGTGCTATCATAAGTGTCAATAGTAGGCATTTTGAATTTTTTTATGGGAGGGAGAGCTCGATATATGTCCTCAATAAATGGTGAGGTTTCTAGGAATCTGAGCTTATCATTAAGTATAAAAGTCTTGTTCCTAAGCTCTTTTTCCATTGCTTCTATTCAAGTTTCTAATTTCATTAGCTAGATGCTCCGAGGTGGCTTCTTTGGCCCTTTGGGTGGCTTGAGTTTTAAAGTTGGTTGCATAGTAACTTCTTGGAGTTTCATCTTTATCCTGGATCAAGAAATGACTTCATTATCCTTATAGGTCATTAGTTTTTAAGTTTATGGGTTTCTTTGGGTTATGGGTAATGCTTTCTTTGAAGTTTGTAGCGGTGTTATGTTCTGGATGAGTTTTGTGAGGGATTGTAGCTACTGGGTCAACGTTTCAAATTGTTTTAATTTAGGTGTAGCTTGCATAAGTCATTTGGGTTCGGTTGGCTGATCTAAGTATCAACTACAATCGCAACGAGATGATCTCCCTCTTTAGCTGTTTTTCCTTGAAGACATTATGAACTAAGTTAGGTGATGTTGCCTTTAACTAGCTCGTTAAAATGTTGGTGTCAAACTCGACTTGGAGGATAAAGCCTGGAATCGCAAGAGATCAAAGATTGGTCAAGGACAAAGGTTGGAGGTGTATCCAACGTTTATGCTTTGATGTTTAAGTTAGTGCTTGGAATAGAGAGGAAAAGGGAAATCTAGAAAGAGTTTTTGTAATTCCTCTCTTATACTTGGGATGAGATTAGGAATTTATACATGAGGGGGGAGATGTTCGGACTTTAATGATTTGAACTCTTGGAGTTAGGTTTAGGGTTGATGGGGCCAACCTAATAATGACAACTTAATATATTGATATATTGTCAAGTGGGATATAGGTTTGATCGAGCTAATGTAGCCTTCGAAAATTATGGTTGATCTGACATGTCAACTCAGGCTTAATGATCAAAATGCTTTTGAGTGGATGGTGAGTTATTAAAAAATATTATTTTGATTATAAAATACCTTTGGCAACGAATGACATGACATGGACATGACCGCACGACAATTTGAGTGCAATGTGATAGGACAATAAAAAATCTTTTTATATATTTTTCATGTAAAATTTTTTAATATAAATATTGATATCTTTCATTAATATATAATCAATTTTTTTCACAATATTTAAAATCTAAAACTATAATTATTATAATTATAATAAAAAATCCTTTTTTATGAATTTTTTTAGAAGTGGTTAATGTCATCTTATGTTATTTTAATGATTTTTTTTTATTTTGCATATAAAATCTTTTTCTTTTAAATTTTTGTAAGAAATTAAAATAATTTTTACTATAGTGTTATTTCAACTGCTGATAAGTATAAAAGAAAACTTTGTTTTTAATTTTTTTATAACAATTACATCATTAAATTTTGAAGTGAATATCGTTTTAGTCTCTAAATTTAAAAAATGACATTGATTTCTATATTTGATAATGGTAACCAAATAGTTTTTTCGTAATGATATCGTTGGTTGAGCTTTATAAAAATGAAAATTATAAAGTGGATAATGGATTGATAATATTATAAGTTTAAGATTAAAAAAAAAAATAATGATTATGAAGGAAATAAAAATTTGATAAATTTTATTTTTTAATTTATTTTCTAGGGATGTTAATTTTTATGTATTTTAATTATGTTTGCAATGCAAATTTTAAATCAATTAATATTTATTATTTTTTAAGAAAAAATTTGTTAATTTGCAATTAAACTTTCTCAAATTGTGTTGCTAATCAAATCCATAGATCCACTAGTAAGGATCGACTTGAATCAAGTTTTAGACATGATTTTTAAGGTCTAAGCGTAACCAATCAAATTATTATTTTATTAATAAAATATTTTTATTTAAGTTGTATTTTAAAATATATTTAAAAATTAAAATATTAATATAAAAATATTTTTTAATATTTTAATTTTTAATAGTAAAATAGATTTGTTCAAGTTTATAATGAATGAGTGAAGTTGGCTCTTGAGTGAGACTTTGAAAGCATTATTTAATTTTAGTTCGGTTCATGAAAATCTCTAATTGCAATCTAAATAAATAAATTTGTTATTTCTATTAATATGTGATAGTGTGAAATTTATAATGTTTCTTTGAAAATTTTATACTAATATTTTATAACTAAAAAATCTTGGCTTTTGAAGAAATATTTTATGATATTGAAATATTGTAAAATAAATGACAAATACACTATGGAATATTTTAGGATGATTTATAGTCTAATTATATGTTTTAAACAAATAAATTTGAAGAAAAGTAGGTAATTTTCATTTTCAAGATATAGACTTTTTTTTATCCTAAAATTGAATAAAAAAACTTACTAACAAAATTTAAGGTAAAAAAGTAATTTTATTTTTCATATAATTATCAAAATTATTATTATTTTAAAGTAATATTTATTATTATAATTTTAACAAGTAAAAAAGTTTTATCATTATCTTTTTATGTAATTTTTTTTTTGGAATTACTTTTAATAGTTGCATAAATTGTTTTTTTTTTGCCTAAGGATCATTTTATTATGAGCATAAAAATATAGGGATGGATATATATATTTTTTTAAAGATTGGAGACCTAAATGATACACTTCAAAATTTGGAAATTATGAAAGTAATTTAGCTCTGATCAAGACCCAACCTTTTTTATATAATTTGGATTCCCAAATTAGAATTAAAAAAGAAAAATTCCCTATAGTTTTCTCGTCTCTCCGAGATCTCCTAAATCTCTTCCCTTAGTCTATCAAATATGATGCAACTAGCTGCAAGAGGCAGTCAATTAGTCCCAAACCCAGCAGCAGCAGCAACGACGCAGTCGCAGCCGTGGCCGATGATGTCTCTACAACAACATTCCCCAAATAAAATAGGTGTAATTCAGATGAAAATTTTTTTCAATTTTTTAAATTATTAAACAGACGTATCTTCTCTATTTTCTTCCAAACTTCCTTACGTTTTATCCAAATAAAAAAGATTATTCAAACAAAATAAATATGTTATATATGAAGTGCATGCAAATTTCTTTACATTTACGAATTGGTTTTTAGTTATATTGAGTTGTAATTACATTTCTATGACATACAGAATCATGGGAAAAGTGAGATGGCCGTCAATAGAGCTATGGATCCTGAAATATTAAATCTTTTGAACAATTCACCTGCAACTGCTGCTTATATTACATTAGTGTTGGTTGTTGCCTTACTGAGTTTCATACTTGAATCATGCAATTAATTATATCTACATTGGAGGACAAGCCCAGCAGTGAAATTCCTTCTTTCTTGTAAAATTAGACTTGTGTTTCAATTACCATTACTGTCGATAGTGAATTAATGCTTTTAGCCTGTGTTTGTTCTCAATAACAATTCAGACTGTTGAGTTATTGCCTGTTTTTTCTTAATTATATTTAATGGATAGAGATTGTAAAGTTCTCTTTTTTTAGGTGAAGAGCTATAGTATAAAATACCAAATTTATCACCATATTATGGTAGCATGGCTCACCTGTGAATTTTGCCACTGCCTTTCAATTGGGATGAGTTTTGTTTTGGTTGATTTTTGGACAAAAAAAAAGGTTATCTTATCTTGGATATCTTTTATGAGTTGGAAGTAGAAGAATTGGAAAAAGAAAAAGATTGACTTGGTAATCACAATAACAACCAAAAAAAAATGATGTGTCAAATATTTGTGGCATGTATATTTTTGTTCAATGTGAAATTTGACATTATAATTTTTAGTTCTTTAAAATTAATTGAAAATGCATGAATATAATATTTCTTGAAATTGTACTACTATATATTTTTGGTAAGACATCAATGAAAATAAAAATATAATAACAAAATTCAATATTAAATTACAATATAGTGGTATATTTTGTGTGTAACCCAAGAAGAATCAAGTGTTGATGTGCAAAATAAAAAGTGATACAGGTTAGGGCTAAGAATGTGAATGTTGTCTTATATTTTTTTGGATAAATCATGAAAAGTTACTTAAAAGCTTATTAGTCATCGGCAAATTGCAACTGAAAGCGAGTTTATTCAATGGGACTTCATACTAATTTGCATTGCCTTCTTCCTTAATATTTGGAGTGGGAAAAGAAAAAACACAGCAGGTTCTGCCCAGAAATGAAGAATGAGAGAGAAAAAGGTTAGAGGGATTCCCTCGGTGGCTATTAATATAAAAGGGACTATGGTTTGGTTTGGATGCATGGTAGGAACATGTCGATTTATGATTGAACCTTAAATTACCGATAATGCATCCACAACCATAGAATTGAAGAATCTGAACATGAAATCGGTTGGAGCTGAATAAATCACCTTTGCTTTTGTTTTTGATGTTGCATCAGTCAAATTTAGGATGCTTTTAAGCAAAATCGGAAAGTTATACAATGACTCAAACTTTTGTGATGAGTAATGCTGACAGAAGATACAAGCTGACAGGCTGATGAAAATTGATGTCGAAGATGAACAAACAGAAGGGAGATGTAATAACATTATGCCTATAGCGTAGGCTGGAATGCAAGAATTTTTTTTTTTACAATTCCACTCAATCCTTACTAATTGAATTAAATCCAAATGATTTAATTTTAAATTCAAATTATTTCAATTATGCTGATTTGTATTTTTTATATAAGATGTCAGAGTCTAAAAATAATACAAAATTTTATAAATATTAAGATTTAAAATTTAAATTTATTATATATTAATTTTTAAAAATATTTATATAAATTAATTGGATTAAATTTTAAACTAACTTGTATTTTTGGATAAATTTTGTTTTGAAAAGTTTTCTCAAGCTTAAAACAGTGTGAGATAAAAGATAGGACTAAGTCACATGAAAGTAGGGGAAATTAAAAAGATATATCTGTTTGAGAAACTTTAAAGATTAAATGAAGCAAATGGACCAAAAACTGCTGGCAACACTCAAAACAGGGAGAGAACCTCTCCCTTTCAGTGAAACCTACATCGCATACAAATCAGACAAAACTGACGGTCATGAATCATGATGAGGCAAAAAGGGGACCCACCAGCTTCCATAGCATAATAAGGGCCTCTAGCAATTCATTTTGTTGATGATGATGACGATGACAACTACATGTCATTGCACATGCATAACCCAACACACATATTTTCTCACTTCCCTCCATTTCCTGCTATCCGCTCTTTTTCCCTCTTTCCAAACAGCGCTACAGAGGGTATCTAGCAGATCAAGTTGTAATCGTCATATCCCCAAAGGGTGGCGATCAAGTGAGGCTGTCTATACTGATTTTTTCCTGGTGTCAAAATCCAATTGGTGGTAGCGAATCAATGGAGGGAAAAGTATGTTTTGGCAATTTTAAACATTTGAAGTTTCAATGATTCTTCTGTGAGCTACTCTCCATCCAACCAATACTAAAGCCTAAATTTTACAATTGTTGAATTTGAGGGACCCCATTGGCCCATTTCCTGTCCATAGTTCTGATTGTTTTTTTTTGAAACACTTGTTGGGTTGATTCAGCATCTTGGTTCTGTTAAAATATGGACCACAACTATGATTACATGCCATTTGCTTTTCAACTACAAGAGGAGTGTTATGGTTGACAAACTTGTTTTATTGGTAACAGATTTCATTAAATGTCCATAGTTTTACTTAATTACTTACGCTCCTTGTTCACCGTCAGAGATGCTTTTTGTTCGCTAAATTTTTTGCCTTTTGAACATAACTCAAGCTATGTTCGACTTTTTTTTCAAACGGCAAGCCGATTTTAGGTTTTATCCAAGTAAATTTTTTTTTTTGGGTTAGTCTAAACAAGTTTATTTATGTGAGCTTTAACGAATTCATAAAAAATTATTTTTTCGTAACCTTTCAATAAATTTAAACCACATAACAAAAATGAAGTACACCCTTCTTGTCACTTAAAGCAACTATCCATTAGGGAAGCTATGTTCAACTTTAATATCCTATGTGGGAAGATCTTTAGCTGCACTTATTGAAGGTGAAATACACATTGCACCTTGAATCTGCCAATGCAAGTGCTCTAAATATGTTGGCAAATAGTTTCTTGCAATGAAAGAAGGGAAAAGAAAAATCTGAACATCGAATTAATTGTTAATTTGCTAGGAGTCCAAGTCTTAGCTTCCAAGAGAAAATGAAAATGTTCAGGCATTCAATTGAGAGATTGCCATGTTGAAGAAGATATAGTGAAACATCATTTAATTTGGTTCCAAAAAGTCATTTGGGTTAAACCCACTGTGTTTCAGAAAAGTGCTGCTGAACTGAAGTTGGAGCTAAATCAACAGCAAAATTCATATTATAGCATGCATGGTGCGCCACGGTAAGTCATTTGCCTACCTATTTTGAGCAATACAATAAAAGAAACAATGACCGGCTCCACTTTGTAACTTGTTGTTCCAGTTGTAAATTAGTGGGGGAAAAATGCTTGAGGTCCAGTGCTTTTTGTACTTGGTACAAAGAATAATTCAATCAAAATCTGAAATATGTACAACAGAGAAATGTGAATTCTGACAAAAATTCCCTATGTGGATGATCCTTATCGAACCATAGATTATAAGCCATAAATTTATAGTTATCAGGATTAAGATTTGTTTAGGTCCTATATTGAGCATGGTTTGAATTCCCTCAATCTGCTTGAAAGTCTAGCTCATCTTATTAAATGCCACCTGCAGATTCCAGTCTGCAATATAGCTTTAAACTCCATTACTAGAAAAGTTATTTCCATCAGCTAGCTTTGCCTAGGTTGAATTTTGGGTTTGCCTCCTACAACAGAAGAGGTGGGGTTATACCACTCACGGTCCACATCAATCTGCAAGGTATAGTTTCAGTCCATTAGGTCTCATGGTTTTATTTCATTAAAAACTTCTTACAAGTTGAAGGTAGTGTGAGTATTTATATCTTAAGTTGAACTCTAATACAAAGCCTAAATGAGATTCATAACTTCTCTCTAGAACCATGACACTTGGCATGATGAGATTATCAAATTTTTTTCCCTCTTTTGGGGTGTGGCATGTATTTTCTATAATGGTACCTTTCTTAATTCTTTCTGTTCTATCACTTGTTCAAGGATAAAAAAACCATTGTCAAGTTAAATTGTTTTTCTTACGAATATGAAAACAACCAAATTAAATATTCATGGACCATGGTTAAAAGAAGTAGACACTTTAGAGAGTCTTTAAGTTCCAATTAGAGCACAACAAAAAGGTTGCTTTTACATTTGAAAGTCTGGTAAATATACCAAGCAGCATCTGCCGGTGTGGCAGCCACTGCCACAAATTTTGAAATTTACACACTTATAAAACCTGCACCCAAAATTTAGAAGCAAAAAAGCAAAAGACTTTTAAAAGGCATTATTCAAATTATAGCTCATTCATGGCCTCTGCCATGGAACGATCTTCTTTTAGCTCACGACGATATGATGAACCAGAGTTTAATTTGAGAGAGTGGGGTCTCAAGGCTCGAATTAGCCGCGAAAACACTACTTCGAGAAGATATTCAGCATCATATATCAGAAGTTTTAGAGAAGATGCAAGGTCTTTTAGATCAAACATAACCATTTCTAGCACTGCATCCTCTCCAGGCTATTCCTTTAAAGGTACCTTTCTAGTTCCTGTTTCATGAAAAGATTTGGTTTTGCATTCAGTGTTCCTCTAAATCTTTCCCATCATTTTTACAGATGAGATTGACCCTTCAACATACTCATTCACTACAGCTCTTAAAGGTATCTGCTGAACCATAGTTCTGTTCTTTTTGAACAGTTCAAAAATTTTGTAGACTAAATGGTATTTTCCTTTTCCGCAGCATTGCAGGCAAAGACAGTGTATGGTAGCTTGTCACCGGACGGGTTTGCTTTAAACTCCAAGTGGAATGAAGCAGAGAAGTACATTTGCAACCCTCTTTCAGGAGAGTATCCGATGGAATGTTTGTCTGCAAAAACACTAAGTGGAAGGTCATTTCGCGACTTAACAAACAGAATCACCATGTCTGCTCCACTTGTTTACTCCCATTCATGCCATATCCAAACGAAGCCTCCCAGGACAATTCCAGAATACATAACTCAGTTTCCAATTCCAGGTTTGAAATCTCATATTTCCTTGTTGCTTTGTTTTCATGCACCTGAAGAACTTATTTCAAGTTGGCTTTTATTGCATCTGTTTGCAGAAAAGAAAGCAGAGAGCATGACTAGAGATGTGGGAACTCAAAGTACACCACCTGATCTTAGTTCTGGTAGTCTTAGCCCTTCTTCAACCCCTTCAATCATAGAGAGAGCATTGAAGCGATGCGGAACAGAAAACGAAGATTCTCCTAACTTTAAAACAAACTCAAAGGCTGAGGAACAGGTATGCTTTTCCCTATAGAGGAATTTCATTCACGTCTGCTGCTGTTAAACTTGGTTCTGACAAAGGGACTCAAGTAAAAAATAGTACTTAAGAAAAATGACTTAACCTATCACTTTCGGATGTTCTGCTCATATCACGGACATTGTTTGAGAAATTTGAACCATAATTAAGGTTTGCTACAACATCTTGCAGCATCATCTATCCATGCTGTTTTTCTGAATGATCACTTTCATTGTCAAATTTGCCCTTTTGTGGTAAGTTTTAAAATTGGAGGACAAGTTCATTCTAGTCCTGGCACCCCTAGTCTTGAAAAAATTTATCCAACATTAAATCAGGACAAGGATTCACTCCTCAACCTACTGATCGCTGCTTGCTTGCTTGCCTACCGTGGAATACAGGCTTGAATATTTTCTTAGTACTTACGTAAGACTAGAAAGCAGATAATATCCATGGAATGCATGCCATTCTGCTTCTAGAAGCCAAATTGTGTTCATAAAGCTGCTTGTTTAGTCCTTACATGTTGCTTACCTTATTGTGGCGTATTTTGAAGATTGATTCTACACAGCTAGGATTACCTCGATAGTGATATAGTTACACTGTGTCCTTCCATGGTGGGGGGCTGCAAGATTTTTCGGTCCCTCAGGATTTCGTGGGCGTATAAGCCTAAGATGTTCTGCCCAAGTCCCCAACTATCCTGTTTTCCTGCAGAAATAATTGAACCGTGTCCTTCCGTGGTGGAGGACTAATATCTTAATCGGTCCCTTTATGATTGATAAGTACATGCGCTCCAGCTGCGTATACAATACAAAAAAAAGTCTTAGATGTCTTCTCTCAACCAGCCTACTTTCCAGCACACACTGTTGGATTTGTCCCTGATTTTGCGCAGCAGTCTTTTCATCGGCAGAAACAAGGAACTGCAAAACGTTTTTGGGATTTCAAAATGGAAAGGCAAAACCAATTTCAAAACCAAGTTATGAAAACAATTCTCCTTCTTTTTTCCTTGAATCATGCTGGTGTTCTTTTTTATTTTTCTCTTTGTTTTTATGTGGATCAACCAAAGATGCATCAGTGCCAAACCTTCAAAAGGATTCTCCACTCTTATATTCTTGCATTCTTTTGAATCTTTGGGGCTCTCAATGACAATGGCATGTCATTGCCTTTTCTTGGTCTTTTCTGTCTTTCAGGAAAATCAGCCATGTGTTTCAGGGCTAGTCATCAGAATACCAGATAAACAATTTATCATTGAACCTGCAACCATTGATCCATTCTACTACTTGATACATCTAGAATCTAAAACACTAACTACAATTAACCTGTCTCTGTCCCACATCATATATTATTAGAGCTAATCTCTGCAATCAAGTTTTTATCATTTAATCATGCCATAGTTAGATATTTTGGATACAGTTTAGCCCTTAACCCTCTACCAGATTGAAGAAAACGATTGTTAGGCCATGTCTCAGTTGCTGGTGCACAAATGGGGTAGTGCAAATTGCTCAACTTGGGGTTCTAGTGTCCAAATTGGTTGCATGTGCAACAATGAGCATAAATTTTTCTTTCTATTTACCCCCGTACCAGCTTAAAGTAGCCATGGATGTTAAATGAACTGATTTTATAGCTTAATTATTAGAATCTTTATAACAGACTGATGATTAAGTAAGGTTGTAAGGAACCATCAAACCACGATTTCATAGGTGACATCGTACTCATCATGTTAATGGAAATAAAAAAGAATCTGGTTCTTTTTTTGTTTTTAATTTTCTGAACCGGAAACTTGAAAATAAATTATGGATGAACACATAAATCCAAGTGTGATATTAATGTGAGAATTCAATGTTGGGTGCAGGTCGAAGTAAAAGAAACAACAGAGAAAGAAGAAACAAAAATAGATAAAGCAGAGAGGAGAAAAAAAGATGAAATGTGCAGGTGCAGCAGGCAACCTGGATGCTTATCATGGATGAGAAAAAGGCAGAGAAAGAAACACAAATCAAAAAGGAAAAGTATATTTTTTCCTCATTTCAAAGAGTGCTAATGATGGTTAGAAAAAAAACATATTGGTGGTATTGTTGAGATTCTCCATCTCTCAATCAAAAGGGTACTTTTTTTTTTTTGGAAGGACAGATTGAATGTGAAGGTGAAAATGAAAGCAAAAATCTATTGATAAGACAGAGGTGAAAGACTATCTTTATAGTAGTTTGTTTTCCTTTGGGATTTTGTTGTAGTTAGTGATGTTATTTTTGTTTCTTGTTTTTATAATGGTGATAATAGCTGACATGACAGCTCTGTGTTCACGTGCATGCCTCTGTTTGTGGCCTTGGAATGAAAATGTTCTTCCCCAAGACCTCAGATGCAGACAATCATGCACAAACTTACCTTTGCCATTTTGATATTCCACCTTTTCTCAATGAAACCACAATAACAATGTGTGGAATACATCAGTGAACAGTATTTACTCATCAATTCATCTATGAAATAGAAAATATATTCAATTCTTCAACAAAAAACCTCTAACTGCAAAAACATTAATTTGCTGGTTTTGGCCTTGCATAACTGGTGCCATGAATAAAAACATTGAAATTTGAAAAAAAAGAGAAAAGCAAAAGGAGATTCTTGAGTTCATGATTGAAGCACAATAAAGGTTGGGAAGCCATCTTCGTCTTGCTAGTTACAATAATTTCATCAAAGTTTTCATATATAACTTTTAATATAATATCCTTAATGATAATTTTTTTTTTACTATAATTCACCTCACTGCTACTTTTATTAGTGCAGTTAATATATATCTTATTATTAATTTTAATTTTACCAATAAAATAATCAATCTCACTGTTACAATAATTAATCTTATTTTTACCAATATTTTTAATCTCATTGGAACCAATTTCACTACTTGTTCAAATGACTCTTGAAAGAAAATTTGACATGTCTATTCAAGATTGCATTTGTTTGATCAGATCTTTTACAAGCAAGATGACAGACAGTAAACAACAAAAAGGAAGGTCACCTTCAGTATTCCTGGAAGAATACATTCAGATAAAAACACTATCATATATAATTTGCCAATATTTATAAACTTATTATTACACTCACCTCCAAAATATTACCATAAGTAGGCTTTGTGGTAGCTCAGATCTTTATATTGCCAGAGGAATCTGGCTTGCTATTTACAATGTCAAGTGCCTTATCCTACATCAAGAGTTTCATTAAAATTGCATGATTACTTTAGAGTAAAAACAATTGTAGTTTCAAAGAAACTAAAAAATAAACCATATCAGACAAAAAAAAAAAAACCAATAAGAAATTTGCCCAAGTCAAGATAGTTTGTGATCCAAGCTCAAGATAAAGTTCACATGGCTAATGTTGGCAACTTCTGCAGATAAAACAGCTCACATGTTCTCCCTGTTCAAATTACTTGTTAGCCACCATATCAAAGATCAGACTTAGTAATCAGTTCTAGCTGATCAAAGATTTTTCCAAATATTAACATTTTTTTTATCTATCTTATGGAAATTCTAATCTTAATATAAAACGTATTGGCACTGAATATATACATTTACCACAAAATATCAAGAGTAACTAAAAAAAAAGACAAACCAGCAAGCAGAATTAGATGAAATCATCATATACTTCACGACGCTGATGCATTGGAGGTGGAATTTGAAATTAGTTGAACTTCATATAGGTTATTCTCTCCCTTCCCTGAGCCATATAGTTTATAAGCTTGGATCGAAATGCTTTAATATGTAATCAATTTATAGAGTAGAAAAGTTAATACTCACCTACTTCAGCAGTGATCCTTGGTCCAAAGAAAGAAGCAAATTTTGCCTGGAAGCCATCATTTTATCTGGAAGATCAGCATGTTGTTTCCACTTTCTCAAAATTGGGGAATTACAGAATAATAATGTGCTAAATATTAAAAACATAGAGAAATTCATAGATGCCTCCATGACAACTTAAGGACATATAGACTAGAACTGTCAATAAATAGATTGAATAAATACTTGCCAAAGCCGTGTTACGTTACCAGCCTCTATTCAAAATCTGACAACTGCAAAGCTTTAGCCTCAAACACCAGGACGAGACAGTATTTGCCATCTTCTGTGACCTAAGACATGGTGGCAAAACGAGGTGGCTAACCCTAATCAAATTAAGACAAGCAATTAAGCATTCTGTTCCAATGATCTCAAATGTTATGTCGCATCAAAATAAAATCAAAGGATCAAACATCACATTGAAAATGGAAGGTGCCAAAATATCCTTGATAAGTCACAAATATTATTGTGCATGCCATAGGGGAAAAAAAGAAATGCCGTATTTAACACATGCTCTAGTTCTGAAACTAGAATTTAATGTACTTTACTAGTGTTCATGGAAGTTGTTAATGACAGACATCAATACAATTTTTGTACGGTAGGTGGCAAAAAAATTTCATGTTTGAGATTAGACCTGAGGTAGAGAAGCATACGTCTTCCCGGATCATTTGTTGAATAGGTCCACTTCTCCGAGGAATTCCTCCACCCTGAAATTTGATACAGAAAAAACACTTACATAAAAAACTTTAAATTTAAATATAATAAAATGTACAAGTACAAGACCTAGCAAATTTTCCCATGAATTACATCCTTTTTCCCCTTATTCATACGGGTTGATTATTGTTGGATTTTTTTTCCTTTTTCTCCTTGTCCTTGTGGGTGGAGGGTAGAGAATCAGGCGAGGACGGTCTACAAGCAAGAATATCTGGACCAGAGCAATTAAACCGGTCCCATCCTCAAATGGCTCATACCATGGCTAGGCTTAGACATGCTAATTCAAATGCATATACAATTTAAAGTTTCACAAATGAGGGCCTCTTTGATCTTATGATTTTGTCTCACAAAAAGTCTAATTTCTGGCTTCACTTTAGGATTGTAACACAAGGACTACAAGTGTTGACAGATTATAGAAATTTGGATCAAAGGCTCACCGGAAACTAGAAATGTTCTTTGCAAATAAAAACATTAAACCTACAATAATTATTTTAACTTAGGAGCTGTCTTCTTCTACAAGTGCTCAAACTGGCTGCATTCACATTTTGATTTGAATCAGTGTGGTACCAATCAAAATTGTTGATAAATCTTTCTTCCCTTCTTTTATGAGTATCAATTCACATCGAATAAGTTTGCATATAATGCAGAGGGAGAAGACAAAGTATAAAAATTGAAGAGGACAGGGACCTGAAATATTGAGGGTTAGTTCTCCAGAGCAGCCAAATCACACAAAAATGCTAAAGGTTATAAATGTTTATTTAGATGCCCCTTAGTTTCATATTCCAATGACACCAACGATAAATACCGGTTGAGCCTTTTTTTTTTTTTTTTTCTTTCTTCAGAGAGTTAATAATTGCAATATTCAACTTACAATTATTTCAGACTCATTCATTCGTACACCTTAAGGTTGCCGCTACTATCACAACCCATAATTTGCAGATATTACATATGAAAGCCATTGACTAATTCTTAACGAAGAAACTTTGTATGTAATATGAGTCTTTTATTCTCAATGAAAATTTTCATAAACTTTGAATAATTTGCTTATTTGGAATAA